GTAGCAAAAATATATATTGTACAGTACAAAATTATAAAATATATATATATATATTTTGCCAATAATATGAAAATAGATTGAGGAGAAAGAAGCACATTTGTTATAGCACAAACTTACAACAAAATCCACTGTTAAATTTGGCAGTCCTATTTTTTAAAAGTAAATAGATTTAGTTATATGTTTCATCTACCATCTTTTTAACTTGCTGCTTGATACCTTTCCAGCAATTTATTTCATAGCCTTGCAATCTGTGGTTGTAATTTATTTTATTCCTTTCCATAAAACTTATTAAATTTTATTTTGTGATAAGACTCATACTATATTTTCTGTTCTTATTTCTTCTCCTTCAATAACAACTACAAAATGTCACAGCAAGTGAGCTCTCAGCGCTCCTCTGAATTTTGGACATGTTTGAAATTTTTTGTTTTTCACAGCCTCAAATTAGAATGATCAACCAAGATGTCCCAATGCAAAAATTTTAGTTAGGGATTCCTTAATTTATTTTGTACTGGATACTAGTTTAAAATATAAGTTAAAGCCATTAGATTTGTTTTGGAAGGGATGGGGGAGGGAATAAAAATAAAGTTATTAATATAAAACATTAAAAAATGAAAATGGCAAAACAATACAGAAAGTTTTCCCCTTCTATTCTGAGGCCTGTTGAATATCCCTGACTATTGCTATATCTCCAGTGATAAAGTGGGGAAAAAATGCCTTTGTCAAATAATTTTTTTCTTTCTTTAAATTTTAGTTATTTATATTGATAATTTAACCCCTTTTATTTTTCTGATATAGGTATGTGTAGCATTCTACAAGGCATGCTGGGTAAAATATACTATGCAAATGTGTACAGTGCTGCATGTTTTTGTTCTCCCTCTGCTTTAGTGGCTTCAAAGAAAAAAAATGTGGTGTTATTTTTGTGAACAAGACATTTAACAAAGAAAATGCAGAGTGCATGCATACAGTATCCTAATTTCTATGGATTTGTTTTATGGAATTTAAATGTGTACAAAACAATTGCATTAATTTTTTTCTTTTATATAATAAATGAAAAAACACTGAAACCAGCGTTATAGCTCTCCTTTATATTATTCTAGAGATATATTGAAGAAATACTGGAAATCACTGGGTATAATTATATACCTTTTATAGGTAAAATTAAAAATCTAAACAGTTACTTTCAAAAAAAAACTCAACTAATTGACTGTTTTCCTGAACATTCTGCTAGGTTCTATGAGTGAATCACAAAAGAAGTACTATTGGGAAAGAATTTGTAAGTTAAATACACATGAAACAGAATTATATTAGAATAAATGCATGAAATAGAATTGAATATAATATAGAAAAATATACTGCATGAAACTTTTTGTTCACAAGATACCCCTAAATGAGTAATGTAGTAGTTCTCAAAAGTTTCCAAAGCTATCCCATACTTGTAAGAATTCCATGGATAGTATATAGATTATTACTTGACATTTCATGTACTCAGGGTCATTTGTCTATGCTATGAATTGATTGGAACTTAACTTTTCAGAAAAAAAAGTTATTTTTCAAGATGTTCAAAAGAAATAGATACTCTGTTGATTAATATACAGTGATTTATTATAGCCAAGTTATTTCACAAACATTATCAATTTAATCCCTCTGACCACCCCAGAAAGTAGTTTACTAGACACAACTATGAATGAAGAAACCAAAACTCATTGTATCTTTTTTCTTTGAAGTATTTTCAGTTAAAAATTCATTTATTAAATGCCTTTAAGCTGCTCATCTAATAAATGTTGGCTGAATGAACAGTTTCTCAGTTATTGGAGAGACATTATATAAGGCTACCTCAACTATCAAAACATTTCAACCAACAATCTGAAACTCCCAAATGGAGGAATTACAGTTGCTCACATCAAATGGCCATGAGCCTGAAGCCACCTCTCATCATCAGCACATTTCTACTAAGCAAATGGACTGCCAGAAGAAACATCTTGTTTGTTCTCTCATATGACATACAGATTAGTATAGTGGTTAGAGTGTGGACTCCAACCCTTGCCTGGACTCAAAGCCTAGATTCAGCTGTCAGTTTGGGGCAATCACTGGACTTCCCTATACCTGGATCTGTCTAAAGAGTTTTGATTATGGTCACATCTTTCTGTTTTCTTACATGTCCAGTAAGTTTTTATTGATGAAATATAATATTTCAATATTACAATATTATAAATTTTACATGTTGATGACTTGATCTGTATTCCTTTTAAGAATGATGGACTTGTTTGACAGGCAACTTGTATGACAGTTTAGCCTTTTTCGGGCTCCTTTGGAACTGGTTTAAAGGAGAATTTTTTCTTAGGCTAATTTAGTTCTTCTTCTAAGGTCTCTGGGGGTGTCTATTGAATGTCCTATATATCAATGGGTTCTCCCAGGCTGAAGGGAACTCAAATGATTTCTGGTTCATTCTAATCTCTGAGAACAATTTGTTTTACAGCTCCCACTTACTTGTTTTCTTCCGCAGAAATTGTTATTGGCCAGCCTCCTGGTGTTCCAAACTACACAAGTATAGACTGATGTGTTGCTAAAGGTTGAGTGGAGGTCTCCTATGCCTGTTTCTGGAGTTTTTCTCTGCATAGCTTCCTTTCAGTTACTCGATTTCACAAATTCTAGCCCCCCTGATCTCTGGGAAGGTTTATCTGTGTCTTTAAGAGATTATCCTACTTTTGGGGGGGGTGGGTTTCTACTGCCTCTGCAGCTGTCTGTGAATTGCTTTCAGGCAGAAAGTCCAAGCAATGGTAAAACCCATTGTTTCTCTTTTGGTCACAGTTCAGCACTGTGTGTTTTCCAGTATCTGAAAACAGTTGTTTCCTGTATTGTGTCAAGTGTTTAATTTGTTAATAGTAGGGGATCAATCTGGATCATCCCATTCTCTCATGGCTTGCAGCAGAAATCTCTCCAATGACATTTTACACATTACTATAATTAGTCTTTAAAAGGTCTTAGAGGATTCTGCTTTTACAAATAGCTTCACACCACTCACCAAAGATTCCAAATTACATCTATAGTAATTCCATATTTGTATCTCACCTATGGAGCATATAGTTAGACAAGATTTTATTAAGTATATTCATTACTTCTTACTTTGAAAGACACTTAGAAAATAATCAGAAAGGTTATCTTCTTGATAAACTTAAGCACTGTGACATACTACTGTAATCCCAGCCACTCTGGAGACTGAGGTAGGAGGATCACAAGGTTGAAGACAGCCTCAGCAATTTAGCAAGATTCTGTCTCAAAAAAGTGCCAGGGATGCAGTACAGTGATTGAATGGCCCTAAATTCAATCCTACTATCCTTCCCCACAAAAAAGAAAAGAAAAAAAAAAACTAGCTTCACAGGTTAATGTGGGCATTTAATAAATTGACAGAGATGTGTGGAAGTTTGTAAAATGTCTCAGGAGTTGCCAAGGCATTACCTATAATGTGCAATAATGGAAATGTTGATTATGCAAATAATATTGCTTTTCTAAATAGCCTATGGAGTACTTTCTTAAGTAAATTTAAATTCAGACAAAACCATTCATAAATTACTTGTGGATTACTCTAAAGATTTTTTTCCCTTCACATATGTCTCCTCTATAGTTTGACTTTTTAATATAGCCCCCAAAAGAAGTCAAAAGAAATTTTTCTATATATTGAGAGAAGATAGTGCTTGGCTAGAAGTCAGGTGGAAAGGTGGAATTTATTGTTGATTTTGCTTAATTTCATTTGGATTTTGGAGATGGAAGGCAAAATGCCTTTTACAACTCTCCCACCTTTTTCAATCTCTGGTTTTTAAAGCCAAAGTTAAGGAGAATAGAAAGGGATGATGCTGTTTCTGGATTATTTGTGAAAGAAAAGAAGCAAACAATCCAGTTTCTTTTTCCCACCCTTTACCTCTAACAAGAGTCAGGACTGACTTATCACACTCATCAGGTGACCCAGAACCGAACAAGGGCTTCTGAGATCAATCTGGAGATATGTGTATGTGTGTACACATCCCTAGAGATGTCAAGTAACTTGTCTATGTGGAACATAGAACATGTGGAACAAGAACTCTGATTTATCAAGTTACTTAATGATTTATTTATATTGTAGTTTTCAACTAAATATCCCAAAGTAGAGGGCTTTGTATAGTGTGACACTCACATAGCGTGGGACACAGCTGTTCAGAGTGTGCAAGGAAGAAGATCAGAGAGAATACTTGGCCATATATTTCATAGCAAGGAAACGCCTGGAATTATAACCAGAAAGGATATTTGGGTTCATCCTGCAGAGAACAATATCTATCTCAAGTGTTTGAACTCTTCCACTCAGACTGCTTTTGAGGCCACTAAAGGTTTTTAAACAGGGGAGTGGAGGGAGATGAAAGAGGAAAGAACCCTGAGGTGTAGAGATGAGTAAAGAGAAGCCCACTGTCAAGATAAGGTCATTGATTTCAGCTGGTATCCAGGGACAAGAAATTCGAAATAGAAAGCTCTTAAGTTTCCTTCAAAGGCCCTCTGGAACACAGAATCATCCAGGACCAAGACGTGGGGCTTTGGGAGCGTAGGACTGGAGATAGACACAAATTACATGTTTGCATCATGACTCTATGGAAGATATTCAGGGAGAACATAAAACCTGTTGCGAACGCAACCGCCAGCAATCAGAGCCATCTGACTCAACCCGCAGCCCGCAACCCGCACAGACTGGATCCAGAGGCATAGCCCAGCAGCTTTTAGATAACTTCGTTCAACAAATAAGCAAGGACTAGGCTGGCGCCCATTCCCAGGCTCCGCCCCTCTGGCCGCGCGCCTGCGCACTCTCGGCACGCCCGCTCCGCCTCTTCACCTCCCCCGCCCGCGTGGTCGCCTCCACCGCAGCCGTCCGAGAGGAGCTGGGGGAGGACGGTGGCCCGCGAGGCTCGTCGCAGACAACGCGGCGGCGATGTCCGCGAGCCAGGCGAGTGCCGCGGCGGCAGCGGCGGGGCCTCGCGCACGGCAGGGCGGCCTGGGTTTTGGCCTCCCCCCGGTTCCCTGGAAGCGGGCCGGTGGCCAGTGCGGGAACGGCAGCAGCAGCAGAGGCGGAGGCTTCAGTGCGTCTCTCTACCCTTTAGCCTGAGCCAAGGGAGGCCAGGCAGCCCGGGTGGCTGGAGGGGGTCCGCTGCCCGAGAATGGGAATTCTCTTCACCAGGATATGGAGACTGTTCAATCACCAGGGTGAGGCGGCTCGGGCCGCGGGCGTACGGGTTGGGGAGAGGGTCAGTCCTGGCGGGGTGGGTGGTGGGGTTTCCGAATACTTGGTAGTGTGGGCGGCGCGGTCGGGCGCTGTCTCTGCGCCGGTGCGAGCTGCGCGGCTGCGGGCCTGGGACCGTTCAGTCCCCTCCTCGCGAGTTTGGGGATGGTTCCCGACTCGCAGCCCTTTGTCTTTGGGGAGTTTCCTAAGAAGTCCATTAAGCAGTACACCCATTGCTCCGATTTCTATTGAGGGTAGAAGAGGTTTCTTGCCCCAGGTCTGATGTGTGTGAGAGGCACGGCCTGGCCCTGTCTCTTTCGGCCCTTTCTTGTGCCAGCAGTTAGGATTGGAGACGAGAAGAAATACTGGGGTCTTCTGAGATGAAGGTTGTAGCTTATGGCCCTAGCCGCACTACTGAGCGACCTCGGGTTGCAGAATGCGGAAAACGTGAGGAATTGCTTTTGACTTTCCCTGTACACTTAGGGTTTAAGAACCTTAACTTCACCCTCAACCCCCTCTGTGAGGAGGAGGGCTAAAGACTTAGGCCTCCTAAAAGTGATAGACTTTTCTCCGTTTACCTTATTTATACATCTGTTTAAGGTTAAACTTAAGGTCATTGTTATACTTGTGTGGGTTATTAGAGTTTTTTTTTTTTTTTCCTAAGGTTGGGTGTTTCAGTGAAAGCTTTAAAAAACATACCATATGAAACGTTTGTTGAGGGTAGGAAACTAGCAAGTTACCAAGTATAGAGTGTATTGTATAGGGATGCTTAAAGTTCATCAGAACACCAGCATTGTCTTGAAATGCATAGCAGGTTTATTAAAATTTGTTATTTTAAAATGAGTGTAAAGCTGTGGAAAGAGGATACAGTTTTAACAAAAAAAGACTCCATGGTTATGAGATGCAGTGTTTATTTTTTTAAACTCAAGTTAGGTGTTTCATCATTCCTGCTGTCAATAACTTATGTTTTTCTCTTGTATAAAGTAGTGGTGTTATCACATCCCAAAGTTTTCCAGTTAAAACCTAAAATGAATGGTATCATCTATTACACAGGCCCACTGCTGCCTCCTTCCCCTTCAGTAATGGAACTCATCTTGTAAATAGAAGGAAGGGACTGGACCTTGTGGTCTCTACTGTTACCTTTAAAAAAAAAGTGTAGAGCACATGATTCTAAATGTAATGGAAGGTGACATGGGGATTTTTCAGAAAGTGGAGAAAACTAGTTCTAATTAGCACTCTCTCTGACTGGTTGTGTGTGATGGGAGAGTAGTCACTTAAACTCTCGGTGCAGGTGTTCTTAACCTGCAACACCAGGAATGTGCGGCCTACTTGAAAACTTAATCTCTAGATTTAATGTATTTACATTATTGTAAAACCAGTGATGTTTATCATAGATAAGATCTAGTTTTAACATCCATAATTTTGAATTATTTTTAATGAAGCTAGTGTTTCAATTCTGGAATGAGGCTTATAAAAACTTTTCTTGTTAATTGAGCTCTGATACAGCCAGAAAAATAGATATTTGCTTCTATAGTTTAATGAAATTAGATGTTTGCCAACAGATACTTGCCAGTAGTAAACAATAATATGTGCATGGGTACCACTCCAGATCACTAGTAGTAGTTTTATTCTTATAAGCTGTATCCTGTGATAATTGGATGGACATTTTTCTTGGTGATGGGAAATTAATAGTAAGAGGAATTAATGGAGTCAAGTTCTAAAAAGTTGCATCTCAATATTGTGAAAGTGAATAAATTGTTTCTTTTCTGTTAAACACTGGTTGTGTTTTCAATAGTCACTTTTCAGAATATTCCCAACTCAGTCTAATGCTAGATACTTGTTGGTTTTTTGGTTCTGTCCTAAATTGGACATATGTAAATCAGATATATCTTAGGTGCATTAGTTTACCTACAGAAGAGTTAGGACATGATCCTAAGTACTTTTCACAGAAATTCTTGGAAAGAAGGTTTTGGGGGATTGCAGAATTTGCTGTGCTGATGAAACTTAAACTGTGACAGATCTCTTTTCTGAAATCCTTTCAGAACAGCTTTTTTAGTTAAAGCTTAGATTTAGTGCACAGTGAAAGCAAATTGCATACTGCTCAAAAGAAAAACTATAGGTTATATTTAGGTGATACTTAGATTCAGTGGAGCACAAACTTTATTCTCTGTTCTGTTACTTTTACATTATTTTTTATTTAAAAAAAAAAAGTTTCAGTGGTCCTTTGAAGTAGTTATTTATTTCCCCTGAAAAGAGGAAACTGAGGCTCATGCAGAGTCATTTCCCCAGACTATATATCTGTTATATGACAGAGCCCAGCAATTTGAAACACCAAAGAAATTTGTTACTAATTATTATTGTCCATCTTTAAAAAAGAGATTCACATCATTATTTTCCTATTTTTCATCCTTATTAACAGTCTCTCAGTTGCTAAACTACAAATCTCTAGGATTTTGAAGAGTTGCAATTTGTGACTTTTCATATGAATAGTAGTTTACTAAACATATTTTTGAGCATCTGTTTGGATCAGGACCTGTGCTGAGTCATAGGAATTAGAACAAAGCCAGCTAACAAATTTTCCTGCCTTTATGGAGCTTCTTTATAGTATAGGGAGATGGAAAATAAACTTACTTCATCTCTAAAGATAAAATAAAAGCAGTTAACATTTACTGACTTTTGCAAGGCTACGTTTTCAGTATTTCATACAGGTTGGTTGATTTAATCTGCACCTGGTTGATTTTTCTTCCTATCCTACAGAGGCAACTCTGTTTTACAGTTTTTTTGTCTTGTTTTTGGGATTTTTGTTGTTTTGTTTTTGCAGTGCCAGGGCCTCACACATGCTAGGCAGGTGCTTTACACTAAGCTACATTCCCCATCCTCTTAAGTGGTTTTCATAAAGTACTATAATTCAAAGTGATGAACCTGGGATTTTAACCAAGGTTTTCTATTGCTAGAGTTAGTGCTCTTAAAGACACACACAAACACCTTTTTTTTGTATAAGAAGGACTCATGCTAAATAAAAGGAGGAACTCTTGACACTTACGTGAACTATGAAAGATGTTTTGGAATTTCCCCATTGGTGTCTTGTATTGCTTTTCTGATTGGTTGTTAGAAAAGGAATTATATTACAAATGAGTGCTGGAAAAGCTGCCTATGCTGCACAAACCTGGCTCTGATAAAGCGAATTCTGCTTCTGTTTTTTTAAAAATTTATTTTACAAATTCAAACATATGTAGGTGAATACATGTAGTAGCTAAGTAGCCAAGGAGTCGACTATACCATTTTCAATATATTATCTCTTAGCTCTGAGTGAACCCTTTTTCATACTATGTAGAAGTGGACCTGGGTCCTTTAAATAGTTTTCTTTTGTCAGTTGGCACAGTGTTAAACTTTGTTGATAGACAGCACTGGAGGGACATTTGCAGAAAGAAAGGGGTTTTCTTCATGGTTACAGTGTGCTCTCAAAAAAAAAGTCTTTTCAACACAAATACCCTCACCAGTGCCTGCCTGACTCTTGCACTACATAGTGGTCGGCAGCAGTCAGCAGTTTTCTTTAGCACCCTCCACACCCCTCAGCTTTGTCCTCCAGAGAAGTACCTTCCATTAAAAATTTTCCCCAGCACCCCTGGATGGAGGATTTCCAGCACTCACTGGGGCAACTTCTCTGCCATTCATTGATCCATAGCTATGCCATCGGACAAGGTCTTTATCTTAGTCTCAAGAGGGATGGAGGAGCTCTGTCTCAGCCATAGGTGGAGTGGATTCTTCTTATATTTGTCATTCCTGTAATCTTTGTAGCTCTTTTCTTTCTTATTAACCAATTCCTCATTATTCCAGTCTCCTGTAACAGTTATTTTCTCTAAACTTTCCAAGTTCAAATTATTGTATGTCTCCTGATTGGATTTCTAATTTTGTCATGTATATTCAATTGCTTTTTCTTAAGCAACCTCTTCATACAAAAGAAGTTTGTTTTTTCCCTATGAAACTTCATGACTGTTGCTATAAATAGCAAGTTTATTTTTTTATTGATGATACTTTTTAAGTTTTGAAAATTGAGTTTTTATTACAAAGTGACTGGATCAGATACCTGCCTCCTAATTTATTTGTTCATTCATTGATGATACTTTATTAAGCCCATGCTTTATTCCAGGCTTTGTGCTGTGGAGTGGAAGAACAATAGTGAACATGACAAATAGATTTTGTGCTCTCTAAAGGATACAGAATTAATAAGGCTAAGTAATAATTTGGATATGAAGTGAAAATAAAGAATAGTGTATTTTTCTTGGTGTTTGTGATTAGGCAATAGTTCAGTTTGTTTTGGTTTTATAAATTAATGACTAGTAATTGGAGAGATACAGACTTCAGCAACTGTAAATAAATGGAACTGATTAGCTGCCTGAGTGTGTCAAAAGGAAATGAAAGAAAAAGTGATACAAGAAAAAATAAGATTATTATTTTTTTCCTGCCATACTGGAGGTTAATCTAGAGAATCACATATGCTAAGTGAATGCTCTACCACTGACCTACATCCCCAGTCCTTTAGTTTATTTTGAGACAAGGTTTCACTAAGTTGTGCAAGCTGGCCTTCAATTTATCAGCCTCTTGCCTCCGCCTCTGAAGTAGCTGGGATTACATGCATGTGCCACACTACACCAGCAGTAAGAAGCATTTTGTGATAAAATAGTATTTATTGGTAAACTCAAGCCTAAATAATAACTTAGAATTTCATCAAAACATTATAACTATAGTTATTTTGGTTTATTTGCGTAAATGTAGGAATGCTGTGACATAGATATTCTAAAAGAAAATTTTTACTAAGCAATAAACTTTTGATGATTCCCATGCAGCAAAGAATTAGAATGAGGAAATTTTATTATATTTGTCCACAATAACAATATCTCCTAGTATACATTTTTTATTTTAAGGTTCTGTGGAGTATTTGTTTTGAAGGACATTATATAACACTTTCTAGCTACAAATTTAT